ACTCACGCCGTTCCACTTTTCAGCGTCTACTCCGACATGCGCATTAATATCGTCCATGAATATGAGGGACTCTGTATTCGACACTTTGGACAGAGCACATTGCATTTCCTCAAGGAAGGTTTCATATTCTTCCTCCAAATTGGGCGCATGGACCTGCCTAAGTCAACGCTTTAGCCTGTTATAGTTTCAGTCGTAGGATTACTCTTGCACTGACATGCTTCCAGTCATTGATTCTTGATTCTCTCCGCGATATTGGGTTCGACCAGAACGCCAACACCGGCCTGAGGGCGAGTCGTTATATCGACGTCTGAATAGAACAGCTTCCATCCGCCGTGGTTTAGGAATCCAGTGCCTTGGCGCTTCGTTGGCGATAGTCCAGCAATGTCGAGTTGGTAATTTCTGGCCTCATCAACTAACTCTTGTTCTTTCGCTCTGAGTGCGGATGTTTTCCAATTTCCGACTGTAAGCTCCCACTGGCGGTGTCGTTCACGTGCCGCCTTTTCTAACGTGCTGTCATGACATCCCTCTGTCCTGCATTGAGAGCTAATAGCGACTCCGTTTTCTGACTGGTATTTTTGTCGTTATTCCGTGGGATTTCGTCAGTGTTGTTGTGCTGCTACGCCCCGGCTGGCAGAGGGTTGAGCAGGTTCTGATTGTTGACTTTCGCAGTGTGCCTCAGTCCTCCAACAGCCTGAGCGGCCCTAGGTAACCCGGGGGACGACCGAGCCGGTATGATTTTCGATTACCTTAATTCTATGAGTGTCAGGTGGCGACGTTTTATCATAATTTTCCACGTTCTTTCATCCTCGTCCTTTTTCAACCGGGCTTGTGACTGGCAACGTCCGAGTTAAGTTATGCTTGTGATTGTAATTGCTTATTTATTTTCACTGCCGTTTTGGTATGTAATTCAGGGATATTTTTTCATTTACGTATCTGATAAGCACATTGTTAGTTGATCTTTTGCAATCTGCGTCCGGATGCAACCATGCGCCTGTTCAATGTCACCTGGTCACGTTTTAATCATCTGTTCTGCTGTTTAATCGTCTGTCGCTTAACATTTGGCCTCACAAAGGGATTCGTTCCTCTGACTTCCTGATTATGTTCTAACCTCCGAGGTAGCAGTTTTTCGATCAATAGGTAAATTGTTCACAAGTGATAATTTTTCGAACTGCATCGCTCCTGGGTTTGCGGAACCACTTCGCACTGAAAGTCATTTGAAGAAACTTATTTGACTGCTTTCCATCCGAGATACTTTTTCGATTAATATTATCCGGCGCTCATGACTTTTGGGGGAGGGTGAATCCTTGTGTTGATTCAAAGAAACTTTGTTGAAGGACAGCAATTATTCACCAGTCTTTCTTTCTGTTGTCCGCCGTTTTCTGAGTCGAGCTGAATCCATGTGTCTGGAGGACATTTTTTTCTGCTTTCCATTTCGTTCGATTTTTGCTATTATCCGCATTTGCCATACGTCGTATACAAAGCATCCTCGTGCCTTTCACTCCCTCTGAATGGGGTTCCTTTGGAATACTGGTTGAGGTTTGGTCTGCTCCGAATTTTTCGGTTAACATTGGCATTACCATCTCTTTCTCCAGACTAACTGGGCCTAATCACGCGAAGGAGATATTTACTGGTGATTTATTTCAAAATCAAAAGTCCGATTAGACGAACAGGCAATGGATAGAGCCTCTCTTCTCCCTTGCTTCTCATGGTGGCATAATCCAGAGCTTCATAAGATCATTTCTCTAAAAGCCGACGTTAGCCAAAACAGAATTCGTGTCATTTCCTCCCATTGGTAACAAATTCGATGGAAATTCGACTCTGAGTCGAAATTTGTCGATTCTGATCCTGATTATCCGTCTAAAATTGATATACGAGTGCACTTCATGAGAAGGGAACGTAGACTACATGCTGTAATCATCACATAGATTTAAACATAGCCTTAAAAAGCCATTCTTGTAACTGGTGACATTGAACTGGAGATCAGTTCGGCGCAATAAACTCCCTAACAAAATAGAATCCTTAATATATTCTGTCGTGAAAGTGTTTGGGATCAGTCTTCCAACAATTAGAAACTGCTCATTTCTTTATTGTCGCCGCTGGCCGCGTTGTCTGTTCGATCTTGATTGGTTAGAAACAGTTTCTTTGAACCAGTAAATAAGGTGTTCTCCATCCATGCGATGCGTGTTATATGTTGAACATATTATAGCTATTTTGTTAATCTTTGACTGGATGTTGAAGTATTCAATAGCCTTTGCATTCAGACGCGTATTTTTTCTGCATACGTGAAGGAAGTCGACGGGGACAAGCCGGGTCCGAATCCATGGGTGGCGAAAGTACCCGCTTTTGGAAACGTAGTTTGTGAATTTTCTGACGGCGGTAAGAATTTTTTGTACCGTTAAGTTGCTCCTTAATTGACGTATTGATTTCGATCCTTTTCGATTTGATAGGCGGCTGGATTCACTGCGTGAAGTTTTCTCCTTCTGGAAACAGATTGTGCTGGGTCAGGCATGATTCGTCGATAGCAGTCGTCGATGCTACATCAGTGGAAAAGTGGGAGTCTGCTTTGCTTGTATTAAATTGATTCTATACTTCTCTTGTTTTTGCCGGACGCATTTAAGAGCTACTGTCTAGTGTAGACCAGGTCCCAAAAAATAGCGTGATAAGCCATTGGACCGTCTGCCCTCTCAACTTAAGATGACCTGTTCAGTCGAGATAAGTTCTGCATGAAATTACGTGTAAACTTCGAACTTTTTACTTGATTTTTTTGTGAAGTTGGGACCAAAAGCTTCTTTTATTGCAGTTCCATCACAGTTATTTTTTATGTTCACAGCCCACTATTTCTTTCGAATTTTACGGCAGTAGCTTTGGATGGTTTCTAATAGTCTCTGTCCTCCGCTGACTGGATAAGCTTCGTCGGTTGGATTTTAAGACGATTTTAAGACGTCCGATGTCCCTGAGTTATTCGACCCTCTGTCTGCCTTTTGTCTGTCTGCTACGTTTTTTTCGAGAAATTTGCCCATTTCTCGGTCTTTCTTATATCTTAGTTAATTATGAAATTCACTTCAGTTTTGATCTCACCAGAGGGAAAGATTCACAAGCAGAAGATTTTGTAATGTCGT